TATATATATATATATATATATATATATATATATATATATATATATATATATATATATATATATATAAGCGACAGCAACAAAGTAGTTGGGGTGTATATGCGACAAGATAAGACAAATTTCTACTCTTTTTATTTTAAATTAAAGTTAAATATGCAACTACACAGAAAAAATCAGTGAAAACACCGCCAGCAGCAGCAGCAGCAGCAGCAGCAGCAGCAGCAGCAGCAGCAGCAGCAGCAATGCTGCAGCAGCGCCGCTCAGCTCCGGCGTAACGAACCACTGGTCAGGGGGGTTGCTGCAGCAGCACCTTTGTCTTTGTTTTTGCGTTGAAATCTTTGTTTATTTCTTAAATTATATTATAAATATTAATATTATTTTTATTTTATTTTATTTATTTTCTTTTTTCTGGTTTTTATACGCATTTTGCTGCTGTTTCTCTCACGACACAGAGAGGCCCCCGGTGACCCGCCGCCCCCNCCCCCCCCCCCGCCTTCTCTTCCTTCTTTGTTTTTTTGTTTTCTTTTTTTATTTTTGTTTTTATTTATTTAATATTAAATACTTTACGAATTTATCATTAAATAAATTTCGTTTGGGGGCCCCCAGGTCAAGAAACAGCAGCAGCTGCTGCAACTGCTGCAGCTGCTGCTCAAAGGCAGAACCGGTGTTGCTGCTGCTGCTGCTGCTGCTGCTGCTGCTACTACTACTGCTGCTACCGCTGCTGCTGCTGCTTCTGCTGCTGTCGCTGCTGCAGCTGTTACTTCAGGCTGCACCAAAGCCACGAATATAATAAAGAGACAGAAACCCGATATAACTAACAAAGAAGCAGCAGCACAACAAAAAAAAAGAGACAGCAACATAATATAATTAATAAATAAACTGCTGTTGATAGTAGAAAGGAAAAATAATAAAAATAAAGACCGAGAGACAGCCAAAGGCTATCGGAGACAGCCCCCCCCCCCCTCTTGTTTGGGGTACACCCAGCTGAGTCCCAGCTAGCTATCAAGTTTGGGGGTAATGAACGTATCTGTTAGTGAGGGCCTCCATAGCAGCTAGCTAGCTAGCTAGCTAGCTAGCTAGCTAGCTAAGGGGGTAGCTAGATGGCTAGCTGAGTAGCTGCGCTAGAAATATGGGTTTCTATAGAAACTGTTTCTGCTTGGACTCAGCATTGATATGGGTAAGGGCCTGTCACGATCTCGTGCTGCAGCAGCTGCTGCTGTTGCTGCTGCTGTTGTAGCTGCAGCAGCANCAGCAGCAAAAATGTTCAAACGAACAGGAAGAAATATAACAGCAACGTGGCTGGTCTCGGCGGTAGCTGCTGCAGCAACTTCGTGGCCACCTGCTATTGCTGCTATTGCTGCTGTTGCTGCTGCTGCTGCTGCTGCTGCTGCTGCTGTTGCTGCTGCTGCTGCTGCTGTTGCTGCAGCAGCAGCAGCAGAAAATTGTCTAAACGATCTCCCCGAAGCCCAGGGAAGCCGCATCTTCATCAGCAGCAGCAGCAGCAGGTGCTGCTGCTGCTATATAAGCAGCAGCAGCAGGAGTATGGATAGAAGCAGGATTAAGCTTGCTGCTGCTGCTGCAGTTTTTGTGTCTGTTCGTTGGCTAGCTCGACAGCTCTTGCTGCTGCAGCATTAAAGTCATCGATTGCCTCTATATGCAGCTGCTGCTGCTGCTGCTGCTGCTGCTGCTGGTCTGCTTCCTGCTTCAGTGCTGCAGCAAGAATAGCCTGGGCCTCTTCTTTGTTTGTACCCTCCAGGCGCACCTAAACAAACAGAGACAGAAACAACAGAAAAGAAAATAAAATAAAAGATACAGATACAGAGACAGAGACAAAGAAAAATAAAATAAAAGATACAGAGACAGAGACAGAGACAAAGAAAAATAAAA